GACTGATATTTCAAACTGTGTACCCGGAGGCAACTCCTCAAGAGTGTGTGTATCAATACTGCCCTCAATGAGTATATCATTAGATTCTAACACGGTAGTTGAATAAACAGACTCAGATGATCGATATGTTATCTATTATAAAATAAACTTTAAATAAATAAATAAAAATATAACGTGATTGAATAAATGAAGGTCATTTTCTATGACAAGACTTCTGTTCTGTTTTCAGCGAGTATCAACATATTAGTGCCAAATGAGTATATACACTCACGTGACAGGCATGATAGTAAGTGTGGCCAGTTTATTTTTGCGATTCCTAAATGATGCCTATAACATTGAATTTCTATCACGAAAACTATGATAAGCTACTTTGAATCAAATTCTGAAGCAGATGCATGTGCAAATGTGTTACATGATGTATGTGCAAAATGTGGACATAAGTCCTGCCATGTTAGCAATAGCTCTTCAAAAACAGAATATGTTAAAAAAATGGCTGTCAGCCATTTTTAAACGTTTTTAGTGCTCATTTATCAATTGATGTGTTATGTTTGTATCAAGTTCAAATGTGATCGGTCATAGCATGTCAGAGATATGACCCAGGAACTGCATTTGATAAAACAAATTTTCCGCCAGTTAACAATTTAAAATTGGATCAGGAAAAAAAGTACGTGCATCATGGGCTCGTTCAGTTCAATGAACATTTTAAGTTTAAATATATCTATAATAAAAAAATATCTATGAATGTCTGAGACACTGTTCTGGAATGGCAGAAATTATTGATTGTGATGATTTTTAGTTCTAAAATGGCGGCCATTTGGCCATCTTGAATTGAATCATGCAAACAATATACGTGCATATGTATGATATGATGTGTGTGTGTGTTTGAATGAAATCGGCCCAGTCACGTCTGAGATACATTTGCAGACGGACACGTGGAAGAACGGACGCATGGACGCAAGAGGTGAAATCCAAAGTCCCCTTTTTGTACTACTTCAGAACGGGGACTAAACGTAAAAACGAAAATAATGAAGCATTAATATAATATAATAATTGCAACTATGATGCAGCCAAGCTAAATAAAAATCCAGACACTAACACCCTCATATACCTGGACGATTACAGTTATTGTTTTATCATGTCAAATTTGAGTGGTAATGATATACTGTTAGTTAAGATTCTCTGTGGAAAGCACCAAGATGTAAAGCAGTATAAATATAACCCCAATGTCTGGACCTTATCCTACTGGACTGTAGATTGACTGCTAATCTACAAATGCTGTACTGTAATGAATATTTCAGAACGTAAATGGAATACAACAATCGCGTGTTGTGTGGCTGACTGGAAATACAAAGGAGGGCTGTCAAATAGTTGCAGAATTTCATATAAGTGAATATATTCTGACATCATTCACTCCGATGCTAATTACTTATTACTTACTCTATACTGTAAAATATAACCACTGAATATGGTAGGATCTGTCCATGTAAATCTGATGCTGTTTTCAGTCGTGCTTTGTACATCAATGCTGGCAGGTTTACGAGGAACTGTAACATATAATAATTTGTAGTTATTATTAAATAAACACACAAATGTTATGTGAAGGATATAGTTAAGATACATAACATACTTGTTTCTGTTGTCATAGTATTCAGTTCATCACTGCATTCACCTTCCCCGACACTAGTAGAGGCAGAAACCTGAAAAGTAATAACATTTTTCCAATAATATGTAGGTCACATTATGAAAGTGATACCATGTACAATTCTTATCAATATACATATGGCGAAATATATCTCTTTTACATCTATCAGGACATATATAGTAAATTCAAGCCAGCATGTCCCCTTTTTACATAGTTATTCATTTGAATCATATTATAGCTCTAATAGAAGTACATTTCCAATATTAGTATATTAGTAGAATTCGGAGGCAGTCCGAAAACGGGGATTAATGGATTGACCTATGTGCATGCGTGTGCAGTCAGATCTATAATTTAGGCATGCCTGGACCAATTAAATTTAAACTTTACACAAATATCACAAATACATTATGTACACCATTTTTTTAACGAACTCATTTACGATGGTCGAATCATCAAAACCAAGCATTACTGGCATTCCGGAACCGGATCTCGGATTTTGTCCAAACTTGGTACATATATTGAACATTATGGCCCTTGATGCAGGTCATTTTTTACACTTGATTTAAACTGGTGGTCATTTTGTTTTAATGATTATTTTCAAATTTTATATAATCATTATACATCATATCATAGGTATACAGATGAATTGGTTCGACTATTTGATTCTAATTGGCCGAGTGGTGGTCATTTTATTTTAATGAATGCGCTTCTATTCCATATCTCTGACATGCTCCGACTGATTATGTTCAAATTTTATATATTCATTATACATCATGTATATACAGATGTATTGGTTTGACGATCCCATTCAAAAATGCCCAAATGGTGGCCATTTATTGTGCTAAAAAATCATCAAAAATTAAGGAATTCTGGCATTCAGGAATTGGATCTCGATCGTTTATGAATGCATTTCCTTCATTAGACACTATGGGTCCCTGCAGCACGTCATTTTGTTTTTCAGATCAGATTCAAATAGGCTGACTGGCGGCAATTTTTTTTAATGAACCGATTTTTTTTAATGACTGATTATACTGTTATACATCATCATATAGATATAAAATGACCAACTTGTTTTGATTAATGCTGTTCCAGAGCAATATCTCTCAAGTAATCATTTGACGATACAAGATGACTGAATATAAATCATTTTAATGTTAAAAAATCACCATGATCAAACATCAGCTTTTTTATCCTTATCTCCGACATGTTTATATTCCAAATATATTACTATAAACAAAACCATATATTTTAAGTTTGATAATTAACGGGGACTTTGTCATGCATGGCTTGTTATATCATTATATAATAACTTATTTGACCACAGACAGACCTCTTAAATAAGATCATGGCTATTCGTACAGTAAATATGGTATTTGATATACAGCATTTTTTTATAAATATCTAGTAGTTTAGCAAAAGAAAAAATAGTTCAAATAATATCATATGAACTTACTAGTACAGTATAATTTACTTGGAAGTCAAGTTTGAAAGAAATAACTGCAATAACTAGGATCATATTGAAAATGATTTAATCACAACTGAACATAATGTGAGGCATACTAGATCATAGTAGTTCACCGTTAAAACGTTGGGAAGCGAAGCCATTATGAATCAGAACAAATGAATGTCAGTATAAGTCACATGATGTATATGTTATGTGTAAAGTTAAAATGTGCATGAAATATTGTGCAATAAG